TGAAAGGACATCTGAAGAAGCCCGAGATGCGGAAGAAGATCTTCAAACGGCTGCTAGAAGTGGTGCACCCAGAGCCTGTCCGAGATGCGTGCGTCCTCGACATGGAGAAGGCGTGGCATCCGGTGGAATTCACTTGGGAATCCATCAGCGAATTGGTAATGCACCATGCGCAAGAGCAGCAGCGTTTTAACTCGACATATTGCGCGGGACGTAAAAAGCCGGGCTATGAAGCCAAAGAAGCGAAAAACAAGAAAGAACAACGCGAAGTGCGTCCACGGCGTGACGACCGCGAACGAAGCCGTAGCCAAGGGCGGGACAGACGCGATCGATCAAGCGACCGCCATGAGCCACGAAACCATTATTCAGGCTACCGCTCGCAATCGCGCGAAAGAGACGGTGGTCGTCCGTACGAACGACGTGATGAAAACCGCAGTTCCCGTTATGGACCGCCCGACAGCAAACCCAAGCAGCAAGTGGGATTTGCGATGCGACGTGGCCGAAGCCCCGCTCCATCCCATGGAGGAATTTTGCGCGACCGCGAAGGGAAACGAGATGCTGGGTGGGGACATACACCCCGGAGCAGCAGCCAGGAGAAAAACCGTGTAAAGTCGAACTGGTCCCGCGGGGACAGCGTCGAAAAACCTAAGGCCGTTGAACAAATCTCAAACCAGGCTTACCCTTTGATGTTCGGTGAAATTGATATGGACGACTACGATGAGGATGGAAACCTCGTGACAGCTGCCACACATGGTGGATATGTGAACCCTTTCAAAAACCGATGGGAATCACAGAATTTCTGGGTGTCGGTAGAACAAAAGAGAGAAGCGAAAAAACGCAAAGCCAAAGAGCTTGTGGAGACCGAGAACTTCATCCCACTAACGAACGACAGCGAGGACGAAGTCGACGAACCGGACGTGATTCGGCAAAAGGGACGAACGATGCTAAAAGCCAAATCAGCTGGGGCTAGCAGAACGGTGCGGCGTGTCTACGGCTGGGAGTCAAAAGTCAAACAACGTGAACCAAGAGAAATCATGCCGACGGGATGTTTGAAGTGCGGCGATGCAGCCCATCTATACGACAAATGCCCCGGCGCATCGGCCGAGGACAGAGCCAAAGTCAAGTACAAATGGGCGATGGTTGCAAAGCGCATGCAAAACAGAAAGACGCTAAAGCCCAAAGCTAAGAAGCTCCGGGACAGTCTCATGACAGCCAACAAGAAGTGGCGGGAAGAACAAGACAAAAGCCGCGAGGCGAAGGCAACGGAGCCTGAGAAAAAGAAGCTCCGACGAATGCTAGAAAGCCCTGCCGGCGAAAGCGTGGCCACCATCAACGGAGTGTTGGACGTGCCCTACTGCCCTGACAACGGAAGCGATGTGGGAATTATTTCCACCGCCATGGTCAAGACACTGCGCAAGCTGGACGAAACAGTTCAAGCGAAGCAGCTGCCCAAAGCGTGGGTTGGAAGCGCAGTGGGGAACCTACCCGTAATAGCGAAAACGACGGTGGAACTGCGAGTCACTCTGAGCACAGCCGCCGGCCAAGTCAAGCTGCCTGGAAAGCAGCTATTTTACGTGGTCGATGACAACGACGAACTCATTATAAGCAAGTACGCCCTGATGTCGATTGGACTCGACATGGATCGACTACTCGAGCAAGTGGCCATGCGACAAACCCACGAAGACGGCGACGATATTGGCGACCCCGGCGAAGCCGAAGACATCGCATTCGGTGTCAGTGTGCAAGGGTTACACGCAAACGATGAACAGCTGGACGTGGAAGACATGCAAGCAGCAGAACAGCTGTACAAGATGGCGATCATATCTGCGAACGCCGCCGAGCAAGAACAGACTGTGGCGTTCAAGCTATTACGAGGAATCGTCGTCGACACCGCCGCCAAAGGAGTATGGCGAACCAAGTTCAGAGGCACAGACCTCCCGGCGAATGTGAAGGCGATGGAAATACGACTCAAGGTGGATGCACGCCCCAATCGTTGCAAACCTAGAAAGGTGAACCCCTTGACGGGCATGTTCGTCGAAGCGTTTGGCAAACAGCTGGAGCAAGACCAAGTTATTTATGCAAACAACTCAAGCTCCCACTGCAGCCCCGTCAACCCGGTTATGAAACCGGAAGGAAAGAAACTCG